ATCTAGAATTTAGCTTATAAATTTATTTTATTTTACTTATTTATTTTTTATTATCAAATATTTATTATTATAAAAAGAATTATTTATTGCAGGTCATTGCCTTAAACTACATATCAAAATGTTTACATTTTTTATATATTATTTTTTTTTTTAATTTTATTTTATATTATTTTTTTCTGTTTTATTTTTATTATGAAAATAATTATTTATTGCAGCCTATGAGTCTATAATAATAATAAACCTTAACATATATATCAAATTATTTACATTTTATATATTATAATTTTTGTTATTTTATCTTATTTATTTATTTATTTATTTTTTTTATTTGTTAACTTATTTTATTTTCCATATTATGTTAAGCAATTCGCTCTCACCCATTGGCATCAGCTTATCTAATATGTCTCATAAACATAATGTTGGGTGGAGCAGCTACTGCAGGGGTTTGCTCATAACAATTCTATTTGCATGCAACATGCATGCCCACTACAGTGCCACATGTGTGAGTGTGTTTATCTCTGTGTATGTGTAGTAATGTTGGTTTAGGCCATTCAATTGCCGGACCTCTCGTGTCGCCTCCTCTTGCTGTCTACGCCCAGCTCAAGGCTGTGTCACCGCACTTGGCTGGTTAGCAAAATTTGTGATTGTATTTGACTCAATCAGAGCTGGGCATAAGTACAGCCCACAAACATGCACATCCACACACACACACGCCACACACTGTTGCCTTTGTAATTAGCTCATTTATGTTGATTTGCTTTGACAACGCACCTTAAAATATATACATAAATTGCTTCAATTAATTTGGCCTATTCATTATGGCCTATGCTCGTAACGAGCAACCACATATCAAGCCGCACAAACCGAAAACCAAAGCAATTCATAAATTTGTGGCAAAATGCTATCGACCATTTTTCAAATGCTGCGGTCAACCCGTTAAGTGCAGTTCCCTCGGTATTGCAACACCGAAGTGACATTTGATCAATTTTTGGCCAGCTCATAATTAAACGCCCTAGAGCATCGACCTTGACTGAAGCAGGAAGCAGGAAATGAAATGCTCCAATAGATTATGGCATTAAATCTATCATGGTGTAAGTAACTGGGAATTAAATATGTCAGAGAGCAGAAATTTAAAGCTAGTTATGCAGCTTTATGGAACTCAGTTTCCTTTCAGATACAATTCTATATTGTATTCTATACTTCAGAAAGTGTATTTCATAATCAAATATATTTCAATTCACATTTGTCTGCTATATAGCGGTCAAATGATGCCCATTGTAAGTGAATGAATTCGATTCGCTCTTTTTGTGCAGCCGGAGCGTGGCATCATTTGACCTCTCAATACCAAAATGCTGCATTCAGCGTCTGATTTGATTAACATTGAATGGCTTTCAATTAAGTGCGCGAATTGGCAGTGCAGATGAGCAGCTTTTATGCAGCTCAATTGATTGACGTCTTTTGTTGACCATTTGCAACGAAGATTACACAGCGTCTAACATGGCGTATGCTTAATGTGGCCTAGCAAAGCTGAACAGACTGCAGTTCTATTCAATTCAAAACGCAATTTGAATGAGACAAGAAGGAGGGCAAAAAGAGAGACATAGAGAGAGAGAGAGAGAGAGAGAGAGAGAGGGAAAGAGATACAGGACTGTGTGTTTAATAATCTTATAATTGCAAACTATGAAACTTAAGCTGCGCAAATTGAGTCTCGAGTTGGATTGTTGAAGCAGCTGCATATGTTTGCTTGCCTGGGCGTTCGAGCACTTGCTTTCCCACAACCCAGTGTGTGTGTCTATGTGTGTGTGTGTGCAATAAATAGAAAATACTTAAATTGCAATTGCAATGAGTGGAGTGGAGTGAAAAGCATTGCGCATACGCCATGTGTGGCTTGCTCACTCCTATCGCCCTGCTCGGTGTCGTCGCTGGCTGCTTAAAACAATTAGAAATGCAACATTGTTTTAATCTCTTTCGCATTCAACGCAAATTGCTTGGCATTACGGCGCTGCCGAACCGCATTTAGAGCAGCAGCAGCTAAGCACTCTTATGGCTTAAACGCCTCGGTTGCATTTGTGGGCTGCTTGGCTCAGTGCCTCAATAACGAGTGCAATAATTCGAATTTGAGCACTTGCTCCAGCTGCCAGCTGCCTGTGAGCGCGCGCACTCATTAATTTTTGATGCCCAAATGTTGTTCAACAGCAGCAATGCTTGTTTCCTTTTAATTGTTTGAGTAGTTCCGTGTGTACTTGACTGATAAGCTGCGCGATTAACGCGTCTGCCACTAGCACAATGAATTATTGAATGCTTTGTGAATCATTTCACCTGGCAGTGCTAGTTAGCTCGGGTATTTTTGTCTTACCTGCGAGTCAGCATGCAGCTATGCGAATTTTGAACAGTGGATTGAAGGCTCTTAGGCTTGGTTTTTAAAACGGACTGAGTAAAGCGTGGGACTAGACAGAACATTTTGAATGTATGATATATTAGAGTAGCAATAAAAAATATTTTACAAATTATATTAAATTATATAGACTGTTAATTAAAAATCAGATATATACCTTTGAATTTTTTTATTTTTAATTATTATTATTATTATTATAATTAATATTTTTTTTTTGTATAATTGTGTCTTTTTGTTAAACTTGTTAGGCTGCCAATTAGGTAGTAAAAAGCCCGATTAAATATACTAAAAAAAAAAAAAAAAAAAAAAAAAAAAAAAAAATTCTTCAATTACTTAGATTACTTTAACTTGAAGAATAAAAATAAATGTTAAATAAAAAAAATTTTAAAAATATTGAAAAATATTAAAAGTAAAATAATAAATGCAAGAAACATAAAACTCTCATATGTTAATCTCTAGTTGCTTTTCTTTTTTTTTTTTTTTTTTTTTTTTTTTGTTTCAAAATCAATTTTAACTCCGGCTATTCCAAACATTCTGGAATTGATAAGATCTTTAAATAAAAGCCACTGCAAATTTTTTTTTGAAATTTATTCCAAATCTCCGCTTGCATTCTTACTCCTCTCTGTTGATAAATCTCAAAATTAAACTCATAAATATAAATTCAGCTCTCAGCTATCATTATATTTACAACTGGCTAATGCAGCTCTCAAGTTGCATCGCGTTTGTCATTTTCAAACAATTAGCGAGTTTTAATCATTTTATACTTAAGTCAAATGAATTTATGCATAAGTGTATATTCATACACTCGGACATACATTCGCACTCAAATAGAAGCTCGCCGCAATAAGCAAAGAGGGCAGCAAAACTATGTAACCTTTGGATAAATGTAGCCAAGCCACATGTGAGCTATGAGAATGAACTTGAAAATGTAGTGAATAAGGTGAATCAAAAATAAAGTAAATATACTGAATACCGATTAAAAATTAAGTATAATGTACATAACAAAATCAGATATAGTTCTGTACTATATATTGCAAAAATCTGCTGCTACATTTCACACCATTCACAGTTAACTCACCCACAGCTACAGCGTATCTTGCAGTCAGTCATATCCTCCTACATTATTCCTGTTTGCTTCTGCATGCACATAAACTTTAAAAATAAGCGCTGGCTCGTCGTGGCGTTGGGGCGTGGCAGTGGGCAGCAGTCGGCAGTGAGTTGGCTGCTCGCAGCAACACCGAAATAAAAACACACAAATATTTAAATGTATAATGAGCAGCTGAAAGCTTTTTAATGGCTTTTTAATTAGACGAACGGCAGACTATGTGTGCACGTGTGTCTGTGTGTGGGTATATGCAATACTTGCAATTGCCAAAGTAGCCTAATTATGCACAACAGGCCAAGATCGCAACTGTATATGAATGAGATGACCTGGCGCCGATAACAAATCGTGTATATCAGCAACAGCTGGCAAGCAAATCAGGGCCGACAGCTGCGCTATGAAAGTCTGCAGCGCTCAAAGTTATGCTACACTTTTTTTTTGCATAGGGCTCAATAGCCATTGATTACACGCCCATTATAGACTTTTTTTTGAGAGTGCGTAAATACTTAAGTGTTTTTAATTAGCCAGCACTTAAAGTAGACGCCCTGGAGCTGATATCAGAGTCGAGCTGCGAGCCACCAGCAACAGCTGGCAAACGAGAGGCAGCGCAAACTGCAATTGAGCTGCGCACAAAAGCGTGCTACACTTTTTTTAATGACTCGTCTCAGTTACCATTCACAAGCTGCTATGCATTTATATACCATATTTAATCACAGGCTGCCAGTACTCCAAGTGAATGAAATCGAAGAGCGAGTAAATCGGCGTTATCTGGAGCAGCTGGCAGCTGGCAGCTGGCAGCTGGCAGTTGCCATAGCTGCCCCAAACAGCCCAACTAAGTAGGATAATCTTTTCGTAGAGCTGCTGACCTGCATTGAATGCATATTAAATATCAAATATTTATTTAGTTAACTCAAGCAACAATGCTAATCCCTTTAAATCATTAAATTCCTCTTTCATTTCGACTGTCATCAAGTGAGCAAATTTATTTGCATATTTACGGTTTTGCGTTGCTTGCGCAAATCAAATTTGACAAAATTTTAATTAAATGCCGCACTTGCAACAATTTTAATAAGCCATATAAATAAATTTAAATAATTTCCACAGCACACATATACATATGCAAATAGAGTCAGGCAAATAGCTAAAGCGTTATGTGGGTGTTAGGGTTTCCCTATGTGTGTGTGTGTATGTGTGTGTGTTTGTGTGTAACAAATTTAATTTTGTCAAAGCCGCAAATTGACAAATATTTTAGTTTGCATAACACACACAGTTCTACACCCAGCCATACGCACACACACACACACACACACACACACAACAGTTAACGTCTATTTTAATTGATTTGCGCTAAATTTATTGATTTCATTTTGTCAACAGTTGTTGCCAGCACCGCAGAGACGCATTATCCAAGTTGGTAACCCAACTTTAACTCATTATTGGGTTCTTTATGATTGCTCTCGCTCTGTTGTCCCACCCCCTCTCTCTCTCTCTCTCTAACACACACTTGTAGCAGGCTACTAGCCTATGTATACTGTAGCTGGTTACTAGCCTATGTTATATTAGATTTAAGTTAACAGCATTATGGTTAACCATCGATAGATACACATCTATCGATAGTTAACCATATTGGTGGCTGAGGAGGCTGTCGATATGCAACATGCCATTTTGAGTAATAGAAAGAGGAGGATCGATACATTTTAAGCTTGAATGTGAACAATAGCAGACGTGTGTATATCAAGAAATTATGAAATAAAGAAATTAAATAAAAGGCCTACTACAATCTCAGAAGTGGGATAAAGTACACTAATTTTTCAAATTAAATAAAATGAATTTAAGCATAAATGAAATTAAGCATAGACGAAGTATCTGTGGTGCAGTTAAAGAAGTGGCTAGCTGCATTGGGCTTGTCGACTCAAGGGTGCAAGACTGAACTTGTCGCTCGCCTCAATGGCGTGCCCGCAAATTTGCGCGGCAGCGCCCCCGAAGTGGAACAGGGAGAGGAGGAGTCAGATCAAACTGGAGTATCGCAGACAGTGCAAATGCAACAGGAGGAAATAGACAGGAATGAGAATATTTTGCGAGAGCTAAGTGAGCAGATCGACGCAGCAAAGAAGCAGCTAAAAAATTTTCACACACGACAATTGGACAGAGACGGCAATAGCAAGCGTGCCGAAATTAGCGCAAATGGCGTCGATGCAGAAGTTGAATTCGAAGAACGCGCGACTGACGCGCGCCAAAAGGGCGCCAGTGAAAATTGTGTAATAAATACAACGCACAATGATGAAGTGATGTCAATGATGTTTAAATTAGCTAAAGAAATTATGGTGGAATTCACTGGGGAGGAGTCTATTAGCAACTGGATAGCGCAATTGAATAATGTATCTCAATTATATCAACTAACGGACATGCAAAAAAAGTTGCTATGCATGGCCAAATTAAAAGGGAAAGCCATGCAATGGATACATGATGATTCATCGAGGATTGTGCAACCGTTGGGCACATTATTGGATGGATTGGCAGCAGCATTCGGAAGCAAGATATCCAAGGCCGAAATGCGTCGCAAGTTTGGGGCACGTATATGGAGTGTCGATGAGAAGTTCACCCAGTATTATGAAGAGAAAATACGTTTAGCAAAGGGAAATTCGTTTAGATGTAGACGAGCTACTGGATGGTCTCATTGAAGGAATCCCAAATGCAGTTTTACGCGCGCAGGCCAGGATACAGTGCTTTGAAGACCCCAGCAAATTGGTAAGGGCTTTTGCAGAGGTGCGTTTGCCACTGCATCGATCTACTGGAGGAAAAGGGACAACAGCAGTGGGACCAGGGCTCGATAATGCAATGAAGGAGACGCGTTGCTTCAATTGCAACTATAAGGGGCATTGGGCAAGAGATTGTCAGAAGCCCAAGAGGGAGAAGGGTACGTGCTACCACTGCGGCGCTAAGGATCATATGGTGGCACAATGCACGAAGAGGAAGGATGATATTGGAAACAATTTCGTAAGGTTAATCAGTATACATTTTAAGTCCAAAGATAATGCCTCCATTATTGCAGAATGCCTCATAGATTCAGGAAGTCCTATTTCGTTTATTAAAAAATCGTGTGTCCCAGTTGGAATAAAACTTAAAGCACACGCAGAAAATTACTTTGGGCTAAATGAAAGCCAGTTAAATGTGATTGGAAAAACATTTGTTCATATTTTCAAGAAGTTTGAGAAAATAAATTTTTGGTTAATAGTTGTCCCTGATGAATCTATGAGGTCTGAAGTAATTTTAGGGAGAGATTTCATGGAAGCTTGCAATTTATATGTTGACCCAATCGCCTTGAGAATGATTTCAGTGGAAAGAGCAGCTGGCACGTTAGATAAATCGTTAGAAAATACATTGTTAGGAAACACATCGTTAGATAAATCGTTAGAAAATACATTGTTAGGAAACACATCGTTAGATAAATCGTTAGAAAATACATTCTTAGGAAACACATCATTAGATAAATCGTTAGAAAATACATTCTTAGGAACCACATCATTAGATAAATCGTTAGAAAATACATTAGTAAATAAAGTGTTAGAAAATGAAGAATTAGGAAAGAAGTTAGTAAATAAAGTGTTAGAAAATGAAGAATTAGGAAAGAAGTTAGTAAGTAAAGTGTTAGAAAATGAAGAATTAGGAAAGAAGTTAGTAAGTAAAGTGTTAGAAAATGAAGAATTAGGAGAGAAGTTAGTAAGTAAATTGTTAGAAAATAAAGAATTAGGAAGGAAGTTAGTAAATAAAGTGTTAGGAAACAAAGACTTAGAAGAGAAATTGTTAGACAAATGGTCAAATAATAAAGAATTAGAAGAAAAATTATTAGACAAAGAAGAGATCGATAGGTCAAAAGAGTGTTTAGAAAAGTCAATGGAAATAAATAGCAAAAGCGTTTTTGACGATAATTTTGAAAACAGCATGCTTCAAATTAATGTGGTAGACGGAGACAATGAAAAAGAGATATATATTATCGGTGAAAATATTAGTTATGATGTGCGGAAAAAACTAATTAGATTGCTGAAAGTGGAATATGTAGATGCTGAAAGGCCAGTGAAACCTAAAAAGAAATGCGAAATGAATATACGAATTGAGAAAGCAAAACCGTTTAGCTGTTCACCAAGAAGGTTATCATACACTGAAAAGGAAAAATTACAGATAATGTTAGACGAATACCTTAGAAATGGCATCATACAACCTAGTTGCTCAGAGTATGCTTCACCAATAGTATTAGTAAAGAAAAAAACAGGAGATTTAAGAATGTGCGTTGATTTTAGAAAACTCAACAAGATCATGATCAAAGACAATTATCCTTTGCCGTTGATTGATGATTTGTTAGACAGACTAGTGGGGAAGTCTATTTTCACGAAGCTTGACCTGAAGAATGGATATTTTCATGTTTTTGTAGAGAAAGAGTCAGTAAAATACACATCGTTTGTTACGCCGTTAGGACAGTTTGAGTTCTTGAGAATGCCTATGGGATTAAAAACAGCTCCGCAAATTTTTCAGAGGTTCGTTAATGATATATTTGCAGATTTAATAAAGGAAAGCAAGGTAATTGTATATATGGATGATATAATGATTGCCAGCAAAGATGTGTCCGAGCATCTTAAGATACTAGAAGAGGTTTTAAAACGATTAGTAGAGAACAAATTAGAGTTGAGGCTGGATAAATGTGAATTTTTGCAGAACAAGGTTAAATATTTAGGATTTGTAATATCAGAAGATGGCATTAGAGCAGATGATAAGGGATTAGAAGCGGTAAAGAATTTCCCAATACCTAATAAAGTTCAGGCGGTGCAAAGTTTTCTCGGGTTGTGCTCATATTTTAGAAGATTTATAAAAGACTTTTCAACTCTGGCAAAACCGTTGTATGACTTATTGCGGAAAGATAGAAAATTTCAATTTGAAGAAAAGGAACTAAATTGTTTTTTATGCTTGAAGGAGAAATTGTTAGAGGCACCAGTATTAGCGTTGTATAATCATAAAGATGACGTAGAATTGCATTGTGATGCCAGTGCAATGGGATTTGGAGCAGTGCTTTTACAAAAGAAAGAAGACGGAAAGCTGCATCCTGTATTTTATTTTTCAAAGCGAACGACAGAAACGGAAGCAAAATATCATAGTTTTGAACTGGAAACTTTAGCCATTATTAATGCACTTAGGAGATTTAGAATATATTTGCAAGGCAGAAAATTTAAAATAGTAACGGATTGTAATTCTTTAACTTTAACTTTGAATAAAATAGATCTTAACCCTAGAATTGCAAGATGGGCATTGGAAATGCAAGAATTTGATTATGAATTAGTGCACAGGGCTGGAAGTCAAATGCAGCATGTAGATGCATTAAGTAGATATAATAATACCATTATGGTAACAGAAGCAAATAGTTTTGAGACTAATTTAATTATTTGCCAGACGAAAGATGCAAAGTTACAAGAAATTAGAAAATTGTTAGAGAAACAAGAGCATAAATTATTTGAAATGAGAAATGGTGTTATATTTAGGAAGACAAATGATGATAGACTACTATTTTATGTACCAGAAAAGATGGAAGAACATGTATTGTACAAATATCACAATGAATTAGGGCACGTTGGAAGGGACAAGATGCTTAATGCAATAAGTAAATCATATTGGTTTCCCAATATGAAAAAGAAAATTTTAGAACATATTGAAAATTGTTTGCAATGCATAGCATTCTCGCCTAGAACGGGCAAAGCAGAAGGGTTGCTGCATAGCATTCCAAAGGGGAATAAACCGTTCCAAATAATTCATATTGACCATTATGGACCAGTGGATAACGGCAGATCAAAGAAATACATTTTTGCAGTAGTAGATGGGTTTACAAAGTTTGTCAGATTATTCACTACTAAAACAACAAGCACTAGGGAAGTTGTAAAGGCATTGAGAGAATATTTTAGAACATACAGTAAGCCAGAATGTATTATATCAGATAGAGGAAGTTGTTTTACGTCAACGGAGTTTGACCAATTTTTAGAAGAAGCAAAGGTAAAGCATATTAGGATTGCAACGGGATCGCCACAAGCGAATGGTCAGGTGGAGCGAATAAACAGAAGTTTAGGTCCGATGATAGCTAAACTAATAGAAGGTGATAATGGACAGCATTGGGATTCAATAATTGAGAGGGTGGAATATGTTTTGAATAACACTCAACATTGTAGCACCAAGCAATTGCCAAGCGTAATGTTATTCGGAATAGCGCAAAAAGGGGAAATTAGTGATAGTTTAGGAGAGCAATTAGAGAAAATAATAGGATTAGATATATGCAGTTCACAGAATTTAGAAGATATTAGAGAACAAGCACAACATTATCAATCTGCAGCACAAACACGGAATGAAGAGAACTTTAATAATGCTAGGAAAGCTGCAAAAGTATACAAGCCAGGAGATTATGTAATGGTTAAGAATTTTGACAACACGGTGGGAATATCAAGGAAATTAATACCTAAATCCAAAGGACCATATGTCATAGATAAAGTACTGAAGAACGATAGGTATTTGATAAAAGACGTTGACGGTTTCCAATTATCCAGGAATCCTTATCAAGGTGTTTGGAGTGCAAGCAATATAAGACATTGGATAAAAGCATAAGAGAGATAATAACTTATATTTTAGATATTAATTTCATAACTAGTGTGTAACATTTAATTAATAATTTAATTTTTATAACATGTAAATAGAATATCGGTAAGAATTTTTTTTTTGTATCAAACATGTAAACACAATATTATTTTTAGGAAGTTAAGTATCAAATATTATATAAAATTAACAGAGATAGAGGGCTATCTCAGAGTCAGGATGGCCGAATTGTAGCAGGCTACTAGCCTATGTATACTGTAGCTGGTTACTAGCCTATGTTATATTAGATTTAAGTTAACAGCATTATGGTTAACCATCGATAGATACACATCTATCGATAGTTAACCATATTGGTGGCTGAGGAGGCTGTCGATATGCAACATGCCATTTTGAGTAATAGAAAGAGGAGGATCGATACATTTTAAGCTTGAATGTGAACAATAGCAGACGTGTGTATATCAAGAAATTATGAAATAAAGAAATTAAATAAAAGGCCTACTACACACTCTGTATCGCTTTGCTAATTTACATGTGCGACTTGTGCAAAGAGCTGCCGGCATTTAATCGTGTTGGCAAATTTATGAACCAGGCTCACTGCATTTGGCCGAAAATCCTACCAGCTAATGGTTCCCATATATTTTTTTATTTTATTTTATTTTTTATTTTTTACTCTAGTTATTTACGCAAATTACTTGCGCTTATTTATGGACTATGCGCAATAATTTTGTGGTTTAGTTTTATATTGGCAACAGGCTACTGAACATTTGGAGAATATTTTAATTATGTGAGAAGCTTTTTAAGCCAAGCAAAAATTTTTTAGTTTAAATTAGTGAAAGGAATGTGGTCAAGACGCTAAATAAATTATGGAAATCACTAAAAAAAAAGTAGTAAAAAATACAGAGGGAATAAAACGTACATAAATTAAGAGCTTACTCAAGCTATAAAATCTTAAAAGAGGATGAATAATAAAGCACAGCACTAAAATATTCCCTTTTACATATAAAAAATTACTATCCAAGCTCCCTGCCCAACTAAACTCTATGAAATGTAATAAAAAAAAAAGCAAAATATTTTGATATTTTGATATTTTAAAGTTTATAAACGCTAATGCAATTTGTTGGGCAACTCTTTAAGGAGTGGCTAAGAAGAGTAATTTGATTTCTGTTTAATAAATTCAATTTTAGAGTTAAGTAAATGAAGTTTCCTTCAATTGATAGAGAAGCCAATAATTCGTAAAGAGACTACTTGGAGACAAAGTCAACTTGAATGTGGATTATTAGCTCAAGTTAAATGAACCGATTGCCAGTGGATGTGTGAGCTGTTTAAATTTAAGCAATTAAACTGACCCATTCATGAGCACAAGAGAGACTCGAGGATGGCAACTGCTTTTGTTTTCATCAATTTCGCTTTGCTGTCTGCTCTTGTCTGCCGTTTGCCTGTGGGGCTTCTTAGCTGCTGCTGCTGCTTGTTGCTGTTGCTGTTGCTGTTGATTTTATATATTCAAATTAGTTCGTTTTGCACGAGTGCCACTCGAATAAAAGCTACGACCACTACTACTGTTATATTTTTCAAACCAGGAGACGAGCTGCCCGACTGACTGAGTGACAGAG